ATCAGCGAAAGAAAATTTCACTGAAAAACGAACAAAATTCCAATTCAATCCTACATAGAAGCGTACATGGCTCGGAAAAACTACAAGAAATTGCGATCCTACTTACACAAACATCTTATCATCAACGAACTCGAAAAAAAAAACAAACAATGCGATCTCCGAAAAGTGGAATGAAATCATGAATACGTTAAAAAAATCACAAACAAGAACTCAAAATTAAAGTAAAACTTGAGCAAGCCAACGAATAAAATAAGTTACGTGGTTTGCATAAACTTGCTACGCATTCACGCAATAACCAACATATGGACGTAATTCGATGACGCTTCCGATCAATGAATTAATGCATACTCAACGAATTACATCTGCCAAATATTTTCAACAAGAAATGCCTCTTTTAACGTGCTAGCGTTAACTGCTCATCATTTGAACGTATGTATGAACGAACGAATTGACGGATGGAAGAGCACCAAGAAATAAACCAGTTCTCAACAGTCGATCAACATTTCAAAAAAATCGTATCAAGACATACTGTTCCTAAAACGGAATGGCCAACAACACAAAATGCACAGCAAGTAGTTGTTTGCAGCAACAATACAACATACGGATGAATTTACGAGCAATGACTACATAACTAACTTCATTTCACTTCATCATTCAACTTTCAATTCAGTAGTTCAAAACCAAATCAACTGACTGCAATCACCTTTCTCTTATCTTTACTTCACCCTTTTACTTAAATCAACAACAACAACGAGCTGTTTGCTTGCATCAATCGCCATCGTAACGATCGAGTAATGACTCGAAATGAAAACGAATGAAAATAGATGGATGGATGAACTGAATGAACACGATTCAAACGATTGAAAAAATCGATTTCAATGATTTAAAAAATTAACGATTTAAAAATCCACGACTGGGCAAAATTGGACGTCAAAGTATTAGAAATTCACAAGTTTATATTCATGCATTACCATTCTACACTTTCGTTATTATGTTCACCAGAAATTCAAATGCTTAGGCTACTGTGAGTTTCCGAACGAAAAACAGCTGTCAACCACTGTCCATTCCCAATTAATACATCGAAATGCAATCCGATTAAAAACTTCCTCTGTTGTGAGTTTGTTCTTCTTTTCATAATCTCAATCAGACAAACATAAAAATTCGAAATGTCGTTCCGTTCTGACTGATATTACCAGTAAACAAACACATTTTCCGTCTGCTACAATCTTTCAAAGTTCAGACGAACGCATAACGTACCCATCTGCTTTCCCTTTCACACTCTTCTTCAATCTCAAGCACTGTTCACACTCATTGCCGAAAAATTTACTCGAATACTTCAAAACAAAAAATCGTCTCGATATCAAATAACTGAAACGCCGAAACTGAAGTGAACTCAAAGTCAAACATTCGTCTGATAAGAAAAGTCTAGCAACAAGAAAAAGGATCGCAACAAATAAAAAAATTGAAAGGAAAAATTAATTTCACCAAACAAAAATCGAAATACAAATGAATCAATTTCAATCTGATATCAAATGGAACAGAATCCCTAAGGATCTCATGAAGTTATCACGTCCATTGCTCAGCATAAATTTTGGATATTCCATTCCGGAAACGTACAGTAAATCATCAACATACAGTAAATCATCGATATACTTTCTAAATTTTCAATATCTTCGCGCATTTCATTATACGATGAGGATGAATCATTTTACTGCGTGCAAAAGACAGCGACAAGAACATTTGTTGCGGAAATATCAAAATTTCACACAACTTCAAATAGCGCATCACACAGAGATTTATGACATCATCAACACGATGACACCATATAAAAATCAATGGGAATCCGAAGAAGTACCAAAAAAATGTCACTTCAACTATTGCACAAAGATGAAAATGAGCGCGCGGATGAGAATACGTACGGCTTGAGAACATATATGAAATAATTATGAGTACATAAAAAACATCAAAAATTGAAGCTGCCAAGGTAGGATGAACAAAAAATATGGTCATATGATAAGATGATTGTTCTTAATTCTTAAACGCTCAACACGATGAAAACATTCAAATCAAATAATAAATACTATTACCATTGTCATTGAACTCATTAGAAAAGCAATAACGGAAGAAGAATTGCTTCAACTTCAAGATGAAGGAGAACTGACCTGTTGTTTTTGATAGATTGTGTCCATTAGAATCCTCGACTCGAGAACATTTTTCTCTATAATTGACCAAAATAATTCTGGAAGATGAATTTTAAACTGTTTGAAGAATCAACTTTCTCAGTTCCGTTCCCAAATAAAGTTTTCGCAACCACCGCTAAATTCAATGTCTATGTTGCGTACAAGACAATGAACTGATTAGCTCACAAGTCTTACACTCAGAAATAGTGATTCAATATACTGAATACACATTTCGTCATTTTGCATCGGACGACTACCACCAAATTTCGGGTTCCAGATGCATTAAGTTGACCATGAAATTACTACGTGAAATGATCATAACCATATTCGACTGCACAAACTATAGAGCTTAAAATTCCTCTACAACTGAAATAACCACAATCCACGCAAAGTTTACCAACCATTTTGCTCAAGTCGAACCACTATGAAGGTAGCTCCTTGATGCTCGGGTGACGGGACGCATGCCACATGTCCGGTACCTTTGTCATCCCAGATTCGTTGGTCGCATAAAACGTAGAGTTTGACACGATTTCTTATATCCTTGAAATAGATCAACGATATCGAGAACAAGATATACTTGAGAACCTTTCGTCTATTTTCGCTTGGCGTATGATATATCCCTTTTATAACCATCACGGGAACTCATAATTGATGGAGGTATCTCCGTCTTTACTTAATTTCAGTTTTGCCTATTAATAAGACAACAGAACTCATAAAAACTTCTAATAGGACACCCCTATAAGACAAATCAATACCACAGTAACCTAAGAAGTACGAATCTTATAAACGATTCTTTAAAATTAAACCGATGCAATGCAAACTGATGCGAACGCTGGACATGAAAGCAAGCAAAATCAAGCAGATATTGAGAGGACACTTACTCTAGGTATTTCAACTTTAGCCAGATGTCTATTTGGGTCATCCTCTTCCATATCAGAATCAACATTCTTCAGACTACGGCATTCATCTCTTTGGTTTTGTTGCGTCTGCTGCTGCTGTTGTTGTTGAGGCATATTTTTCGAAGAATCCATCATCGATTGATTCTCCACACTTGCTTTTTGGTCTTGACAGATAACTGCAGATCCTTCAGATCTAATATCACCATTCACTGCGGTACTGCTGTTAGTGGTCAAGTTCACTGTTGTAGTAGTTGTTGTTATTGCAGAAGGTTCAGGTTGTGGCATTATTGCTAACTGTGCACAATAGTAATATTGTGGTGTATAACCAAATTATTATTGGTACCAAGTTTAAATTTGTTGAAATAGCACCAAACCAATCGATCAGAAACGACGATAATAGCGCCAAAATATATATACAGTTCAATAATGCCGTATAATTTTTTCTTCCTCTCCAAGATCAGTGCCTTCCAACTGGAAACGAGGTACAAAAACTGCTTAAATATTATTTTTGAATCATGACACAGTTACATTGTACTTTTTATTTTCATTCGAATCGTCAAAATTTTTGCATTCGTTCACAATCACGCATATATTTGACTAGCTTTCGCGTGTACTGAATGAAAAACACAACAGAACAATGCGCGATTGTGGGAATTAAAGAAATCGAAACAAGATGGGTGAAAATACAAACAAGGAAGCCATAATTGCCTACTGACAGACGAAAAAATATTTCAGATGCAGAATCGAGCTACGCATTACTAGACATCTTTCAATGTTTGCGTTTCTTGCGCACAAGCATGCTCAGACCGATGTCGTGTGATGACTCGTACTCCTACACACATAAAAACGAGATCGTTCATTGACGCAAATATCAAAATCACTTCCAGTTTGCAAGAAAAAACAACCGAACGAAATAGAAGCATTTTATGGAAAACAGTTGTACACACAATTAACTACTGGCACTAATTCAATGATGAATATAACTCTTACTGAAATATAAAAAAAGTCCAAATTTTATGAATGAGTATCGATTGAATGAATACGTCGACAGGCGTAGTAATTCACTGCCAATGATTCACTAGTCCATATGAATTACGCAATTTCGAGAGGTAGTGACTGAAAAATTTTACGCAATCGAATGGGATTTCGAAAATAATTCCACAACACTGATTCAGAGCAAGTGATCTGAATTAAAATTTACCACAATATTACAAATTTTTTCCCATCGTTAATTCAAGTAACTTTCGCATTCGTATCAGTAAATTCCTGGACAATTTTTCTAGACTGAGTTCTACTTTTCAAAAACTTTCGAATACACATTCAGTATATTCCTTTTTTCTGCGATGGCGAGCTCAGCGTATTTTTAACATTCCAAATATGGATTGGATTCTAATTCATGATGCTAATCTCCATTCACTAATGCATCAAAAACTCATTCACTACATGCACGTATTACTACAGAAAAAAAANAAAAAAAATGTTTGTTGAAAAAAATGCTCATCATCAACCATTAAAAAATTACGTACAACAAATTTTTCTTCTTTACAAATTGAGACATTGGAACATACTTGCAATAATGAAAGGCATTCACACCTTTCATTATTGCAAAACAATGCAATTCATTCAAAAACTTCATGTTGGAGGTGCGAATTACACTGTATGGATGCAATAAAAAATATACAAAAAATCAACAAAAAATATGCACAAGGGTCCAAAAATAATCACATTTCAGAAAAATTTTCAGAACTGCTACCAGAGCATATAGTCAACATCGATACGAACTCCGGGTTAATGGCCAGTGTCAGAGCTATCACAGATATGAAAGTGAATAGATGTCATGTGAATTCTGGATGTCTACGAGGATTCATCCAGAGATAATGATGCTTTTTAGACGAGCTGGTAACTTGCGATACGTGCAACAGTAATTCATAAATTCTCATTTAGCGACACACTATTGTAGCAAACGATTGATGATAAGATCAGCGCTCAAGTGGGTAATATCCAGTGGGCATTTGATGAACAGTCGAAGAACAAAAAAATTTCCTAAAGGAAATCGATGAACAAAACGAACTTCAACGTCAATAACTGGTTCTCTGCTGAAATGCTCCAACGAAACACCGTCATTATATGTAAAATGAAATCATGTTTGTTGATTACGTAATTCTAAACCTTACTTTTACATACGAAATAACAAGATTAATAATGTTGCCGCCAGAATACACACAGATAATAATTCAACCATACAGCTGAAAAGAAAGATGATAACGGGCACGACAAAACTTGTGCAGGAAACTTGATAGGAATTCTGAACAACAAAATTGATATACGTATATAGTAAAGAATTGATTTATATCATATAAAATGGCAATGCAGTTGAATTGATTCATTTAATTGATTGTGGCGATTAGTCTCGAGAAATTTGCTATGCTCGTCAACAATCCCGTACCACATTCATTTCGCATGATATCGTGGAATTTGGAAGTTGGCACCTCAATGCTACATACACAAACACGCACACCTGTATATACACCCACTCTCACGTTAAAATCACCCACAAATGCCCGCCGTGTTGACGTCACTTTCACCTTAATATTCATAACCGGTACGCAACGCAACGCTTCGCCGTTTCTCCATCCTCACTCGCTGCCAGACGCGCGCTAATCCATTTCATCAATGGTCTTGAGCGGAACGTTGAGTATTTGAAAAGTGATTGATTCAAGAAACCACTGCTATTCATTGCACGACGGCGTTTCCTTCTGAAGTTCGCAGGTTAACGTTGGAGAGGAGGTGTCCTGGTTGCATGCAAATCGCAACTTTTCGACCAATTAGCACTCATACGAATCGTCTGTCCTTGCTTCGTTCAACACATTAGTGGAGGAAATTTTATAAGAACAACAGCACCCACGAGCAAGCTGTTTCAATCAAACGTGGTTCAAAAGGGACGGAACTTCGTTTCAGTTGAATGTAGAAGAATTAGTATCGCGTGAAATCATAAGATAAAATTTCTATACCACTTATTCACATCACGATCGCATCACCAGTTGATGTGACGAAAGGAGATAAAAGTCGTTTCGCCAAAACGGTATTGCAGAAGTGATATCCTTTGCGTCGGACACACTTTGAACTGAACGGATATACTTTTTTTCACATCATATAACTTCAATACACATCACATACGGGGTGTATATCACAGTGAATATGTTAATATGCATCCTTCAGACAATGTTTAAGGCTTATGCGAGTGTCGCATTGCACAGTCGTGTACACTGTATGCAGGGAAAGATTTAAGCAATGAGAAGTTTTTCGAATTGGAGTTTCACGATTTTGAAATTTGCTTCAACTGAGCCACTTCCTAATCATTCGGCCGTAATCCATTTTCATATTCTGCCAGAATCATGATTCAATTTGCAAATTTCAATTGAACTTGGGTCAGTTCTAGTGTATGCTGCCTAGTATATTGAGTGAATCTTTGCCTCACGAAACACATGCGTTATTTAATCATAAGTCACACAACGCATATATTCAATTTTTGTGAATACTAACACCTGACGGGGAGACGTTCTAATGTTAACATGTGTATTCGACGTTCGCTACTCCTAAGGGACAGGTTGTTTACAATTACATATGACGTTGTAATGTTTTTCAAGCAGGAGATTATCAAGTAGACTTTCTCAAAGAATGTCTCTTGGAAGTAGCGAACGTCGAATTCTGGCTGCGTCGAAAAATATCATCAAAAGTTTTCGTTATAGTCTCATTCTTCTGTTGCTCTTGCGTCATGTGCCTGCTGCCATCGCATTCACAATCGATTCATCTTGTTAACTCAACCAACCACATGTAGCATAGCCTTCGTAGAAATGCCTACATATGTACCACGATAATAACGACACTCCCTTTAACACTTTTAACATTTTCTGTGACTTCATCTCGTAATCACTATTATTCCTTCAATTTTTCAGAAATCGAACAGTTCTCACAAATATAAGTTTAGTTTAATGCATTCAATTTTGATCAAAACAACCCTTCTTTTCGGTGAGCACCACCTGATGTGTTCAGGGGAGATAGAAATTAAATTGCCTCGTGGGAATACGAAGAAGAAGATTAGCGTAGCGAGTGTTTCCATTCAAGCTTTCACATGAATGAAAACTTTCTTTGAACCAATCATTGCAAATTCGAAATAGCATTTGTCTCTCACTCGAACTGTTTATTCTCTTCGGAAAATAATCTCAACTGATTTCTTCAAATTTCCTTGAGCTTTTTCCTTAAATTTCCTCAAATTTCCTTAAACATTCCTTAAACTGATTTCTTCAACTGGTTGTTTGCATAATTTCTACAAAGTCTGGTCATGAATAGATTCGTTATTGTTATCTGTAGCGCATCATTATTACTCTATGTTCAATGGGTAAGGAAATGTGCCGAAGTTGCACCAGCCCCGAAAACATCCACCTAGATCTGCTCAGGTTTAGCCTCGAATTCATGCTCTGATAGAGGAAGAACGGGAAAATTGATTAGTAATTCCTTCCTCACCTCAAAAAACAGCTTCATATGATTTGCCACTTCGTCTGCAAGGGTTTATTCCACCGTTCCTAGATGGTAGCACTAGAAGTTGTTGCCTCCCGTGCATAGTCGTGTTGATGATAGACTAACTGTCAACAGCTGTCATCGGTGAGTGGCTGTGTGTTGGACTGTGAATGAAAATTTGTTTTGAACCTCCGATTCGAACGATTCTTATGCCAAATACATTATTGACATCGTAAAGTTGCAAATTTTAAACGACTGCTTCATAAAGAATATTTTATTTATGGCTTTATCGCAGTTCTCGGATGGTTTTCAGTTGAAATCGTCTCTTCGAACAGTTTGTTTTCGTTCGTTTTTCGTGTGAAATCTGCTGCTGCTGCAGTGTTATTGGTGGATTGCGATAATTTCACAAAATGTTTACAAGGTGCATCTCAAAATCGAGGTGATGAACGCTTTACCTTGATTTTTCTTTGTTTTATTCCACTCATTTCATCACTCCGAAACCATTCTAGTCGCAGCCATCAGGGCAAGTTTTTTCCTGACCNCCGTGCTCTTCAATATTCGTTTTAAACAACGAGAACCTCACCTTTCGACTTAACGAGGGTTTTCACTCATTTTGGTATCAGCCATCAGGGTTTGGCAATTAATTGTCCGTGAATGACTGACCAGTTTGATAAAGATCGTGTCTGCATAAAGTAGCAAATTCTTTCAATCCATCAAGCGTTCATGATTGAAAATTGAATCAGTTTTTGTAGATTGCCTACAAACATCACAAAGCAAATGGAACTGATTCGTTATAATTCCTCAAATGCTGTGCCGAAGAAAGGAAGTGTCGGAAGAAAGTTGTTTGTGGGTAAGACAGAAATTGATCATTTGAAGCGCTGTAGTTGACAGTATTCCTTGGAATTTGAGAATATAAGGAGATCCCAGCTAAATCAGAATGACCCAACGAAACAGGCGATATCATGGGAAGAAATGAAAGATAAAACTGCAAAATAATAGGGGATTTCTTACATCGATCTGAAGTCATTTGAATTTAGTGTCAGTTTGGAATTTTGGTCCCCTTTTTGGAAAAGGTCTGCAAAAAGAAGACTGCTACCGAGAGAATTATCCGAGTTATGTGGAGAGCAAACCTGCTTCATTGTGTGCTTGTATTTGCATCAAAAAACTTGTATTTGTTATCAGCAATCACGTCTTATCAGTACTCTTGTTATCTTAATGGAATATGTAAGGTTTTAAGTGCGAGTAACAGTAGAATGATCCATATGGGAGAGGGAATGAGTAGTTGGGAAATCAAAAACTAAAAGCAAATACCACATTTTTAAAAATTTTCATTCAGTAAACTTTGACAGCGAAAGCTCAATTGAAAATGTTCATAAATATAAGGGAATAATCGAATAATCAGCTGGAAAAAAGTAATTCAGTGTGCGAATTGTTCGATTTCAGGAACAACTTTGGTGACGGTCGGGGTCGGCGGTGCGTTAGCCTATGGCTGTTACAACCGCGAATTCCGAAACGAAGTTGAATCGAAAGCACCCTGGACAAAGTGTTGTTTCGATAAAGCCGAGCAATTTTTGAGTTACCCCAAACGAAAGTCAGCAGCAATTACTCAATATTTTTTGCTGGTTCATCATCACTCTAAAATGATTCTGTAATGAACTGCGTGTAAAATTCAAATTTCAAACTGAAGTCTTTCTGGCTGTGAGGTTCAAATGAATGAGGACGGACAGCATCACGTGGAACTTGACAACTGAAACTGCTCTGAATAGACTTTTGTTTTGGAGCGATCATTCATTTTGTCAGTTTATGTTGCAGATCAAGTGAGTCGAAAGTAACTGAAAAGAATCTGACTAAAGAAAGTTTCAAACCGGATTTTGTTGCACTAAAAAATAAAGGTACTCATTTTTCAATTCGTGTTCGCATTCCGTCGAAAGCTGATAACATTTCGAATGCTTTGAATGATTGATAGAGCTCATTTGAAATTCCTAATTCGTTCGAAAATTCATTCAACTTTCATCACACTGTAACAGATACAGATAACCACCAAAATTCAGTCCCTTTACAGGCATACTGAAATTCCCTTTTGGTTTTTCCAAATAAGGAGAAATCTGGTAATGTTCAATGGAGAAATTTTTCAGAGTTGGAAGATGCATTAATATGTGCTATAGAGAGTGCAGAAAGTAAGGTGCGTCGTGCGAAAGAATCGAAGCTGAAAACAATCGCAATGACTCGAGAACACGCTGCACTTCTGAAGAAGGCGGTTGACGATCGACAGGTCTGTACTATCGCTCACTCGAACTACTAATGCCGCCTTTCAACTGAGTGAATCGTTTGATGAAGAGCTATTATTCTTTTATGCATCGTCGGGCTTTCCAAATTTACGAATCACCATGACGGAAACTTCCCTATCGATCTTATCGGGAGTTTCTTCTGATTTTACTTCGCGCAGCTGTTCACTTCGGCAGTGTCATTCCTGACATTAGCAATCCTCATTTTCACTTCCCGTCCAGGCTGAAGACTGTTCGATGTTGAGGACTCTTAGCATTTTGGAACTGACGGTTGTTTGATGGTAGTCATCTTAGAAGGCTGAATGTAATGTTTGTACAAAATCATTATGTATTTACTGGAATAGTTACGGTTCTTAGAATGGAGATTGGTTATCGGTAGAAGAATCACTCAAGAAGGCGGATTCACTCGCTAAGTATGACCGCACCGATGAAGTTGATGCTCGTAACGCGCTTGACGCTTTGAAGAAGGTCAACTTTTGCCTGTTGGTTTCCGAGAGCACATTCTGAACTGTTTGATCAAAATAATCAGTATTCTTGGTTTAGTGCACTTCCACTTCACATCTTGGTCAGAAATTGACCAAGATTAAGTGGAATTCAATGATCTCTATTCAAAATGAACAATTTCCGTTCATGTCCTATAGCACGTTATACTAAGCTATGGACGTTTATTGAAATCTGTTTTGATGGAAATATTTATACTCTCAGCAATATTAATTTTACGAAGCGATTATGATAATCGATATCATATTGAACTTTAGTTAGCGTATGATGGTAAAATTTGTGTGTATACGAATGATAATAAACTGATCGTGTTGGCGATGGAAACAGCCAAGAAACTGAACAAGCAAATCGACGAGATGAATTTATTGGCTGAATCGGCACGAGCCAGAAGTGCGGTTATGACTCAGTATCGCGTTTTGGTCGAGAAAAGTCGAAAGCAGTTCGCAGATCAATTGCATAAAATATCACCACATATCGATGCTCAAGGTTCATAGTGATATCATATCGGTTTTTTTTTNGGGGGGGGGGGGGGGGGTTGGCATAACTGCAAGAGATTCTTGTCAATGAATGCGCAGTCAGTCAACTTCATAACAATAAACTCTAATCGAATAACAATTCGGTTTTTATGATAATAATGAATTGCTATCTTTAATGACTTTTCAATACTTTATAGTAGGTTATCGCCTTAAATGATCGCTTTTGAAATTTGCTCATCCAACCGTCCCTGGACAAAAGAAAAATACTACAATGCATACAATGAGAAATAATAGTGATTACGAATTGAACTGATGAAAATTCGATTGATTAATGCGATCATCAACAATCTTTCTGCTGTGGTTATGAACCAAAAATCTCGGTGTCATATTGCAGAAATCAAATTTTGAAAGCTGTACCTCGACGATGCATCTACATTTTTTAACATCTTTTTTTGAAGAGAATCAGCTGTTTACAGATGATAAAATGACGAATGAAGAAGCACAAGAGGTGATTGCATTAACACGTGCCGAAGTTGATGCTTTATACAGACAACTGATCGAGAAGCAACTCGAGTCTGAGCAAAAACTTGCGAGCGCTATCGACGATCAACGAAAAGCACTTTCGAAAATCGCAAAACAAGATTTGGAAAGTGAACAAGAGCGAGTTCGCCGCACGAATGCAAGCAAACTCAGTCCTGATGTAATTTTTCCATCCCTGAAGTAACCATATTCTTCTCTCGTTATGCTTCCAAAATGAATTCTCATCTGATCTGTACAAAGGGTTACATCCAAGTATCTTTCGAATCGTTGTGTTCATTCTTTGAGATATTATCCCTCTGACTGATACTTTTTATTCGTGTAGTACATGTTGTGTTTATTGTCGTATGGATTAATATTTTCTATTGATTGGTCATTGTGAGCTCATTGCTTGTTTATTGAAGATAATGGCGAGTCGTGAAGCATGGCAAAAAGAGTTACAAGAGCGATTAACTCGAGCTGCGCTAGCACATGAGCAACATATGCAACAAGTTTTATTGATGCAAAAACAACTCAACGATATCGAAATGTCTTCAAAGGCGTGACTTTCACTCAGATTCATTCATTCATTACTTTGTCGCATCTTTCTTTGTAATTTCATCTATCATCATTCCTGGTTTTCTATTGTAGCTGGTGCTCATTTATGTGTATGATTTTATTCGTTCCTTCAAATTTCATCTGGTTTTTTGCTTAAACTCCACGCGGTTTACTTAACGGTTGTTGTCATTTGCACCTGTTTCATTCTGAATTCAGAATGAATTTATTTTTGATCAGATCGAAGTTGTGACAATCAAATTGAGTATGATCAGATTGGGTTAGTTCATTATTTACTAGGTTAATTCAATTCGATTCGAATTTTGTTTATCTTCATTTGACGTGGATGTCTAGCAGTTGCATAATTGTGTTCTTTAAAAAAATCTCGATTATGTACTTATTGCAAACCCAGAATTGTGAATATTTCAACGTTACTGCATTTGTTCATAATTCGCTGGCTGAATTGTGACGTTATTTTATCAGCATTATTTGGTGAATATTGTATGCATTTGTGTATGATTTAGCCGTTTGTATGATTTTTACGCTAATCCACATCTCGACCCATAATTCGTTCCGGTTTTAATGATTCCGTTTCCTCGGTTCACTCTGGTTTATTCTAGATCTCTGTTAGCAAATGTGTTTTTCGAAGTTTGTATTTTAAATACTTTTTGATTGTTTTTGTTTGTAGTATACGCGTTTTTCTGCAATGTTATTTCACTGCAGTATCTTAGTCCAGTATTCAGTTCTTCATCATTTAGACAAGATTTTGTCTGAACTGATCCGGACGTTCCAGGATCTTGCCATCACGGAATTTCTCGACGGTCCATGCTAGTGTGTTGCGGAGATCGGGGAATTTCGAGGACCCCGTCCCCGACGTTTTTTGAGCCGATTGTACTTCCTAGGTTCCCGACTGAAAAATTTTATCCCAGACTTCCTCCGTCGCCGAATTTTTTCCGTTTTAAGAATGTACTAATCCATGCCATTGCCAGGCTTGACTTCCGGCATAGGCGTAAGCTTCTTCGGAAGCTCAGAGCTCATTTTCGTTCGAAATATTCATAGCAGTCTTCGTTGTTTGTAGGATGACATATTGATTGTCGACACCTGTATCAAGTGGTCCGTGAAGGATTGTATTTTTTGCATGTTTTTACTTAATAGTGAAGTGGATTTTAGGATTTTTCTTCGCATGTTTTGTGTAATGCGTTTTATTTTTGAACGAAGATTTCAAATTGTCTTCAAATATAGTATATTATTCATTCATTTTTCAACGTTTTTAAATATGTATTCAGCATTTATATCGTATAGCAATGCGAATACAGATGTTTCACACCGTAACGTCATTCAAAACGATGGCGTCAGTGATTTCAACTTTGTGATTTAGATCGATGAAGCAGTTCACAGAGAACGTCGTCGACACGCCAGACAGATTGGTCGATCGCAAAGTAAACTCGATGCCATGGAATTGGCACTTGCCAATAGATCTGATATGGTTCGTTTGAACGACGACAAGATTTTTGATGCTTTCCTCATAGATTCTTCAAACAATTGATTTCTCATGTGCTCTAATGAAGACCACTCGTGGATCAACCCTCTTCTTGGTGATACAACACCAGCTGAATTTATCCATGCTCATCGTGAATTCCATGATCTAAGACTGCATAATGAGTGCATGATCAAAATATTTCTTTAAACCAGTGGTTCTCAACCTGCTTTCCTCTTCGCACCCCTCAGAAATTTTAAATTGTCCCCGCACCCCTACAACAATAGTTACTAAAATGTCTTCGTACCCCCCATCCACTCTGTATCTCTCATTCAATACAGTGAGTGTGTTTAGCGTAGATAAGTGCTTACTTTTAGAGTCCGTTCTAGCCTTTTCAAAAATATACATGTTGAAGTCCATCCACGCTTACTTTACCCTAAAACCTTATCTGGCACCTCCTCCTGTCTCTCCCNCCCCCCCCACTCAACCCCTCTCATCGTACCCAGTCTCGCACCACTTCTCAGTTCACCCTCTGTCACGCCCGCTGGCATGCTATCTCGTACCCTCAGGGGATGGATACATGCACCCTGGGTTGAGAAACCTTGGTTTGAACAGTAATCATGAAATGTCGAAATAGATTATTGGACTTTCGGAACTGAACAGCGCTCTTAGTGCTAGAAGGATTGCCTGTGTTTCTTGATGGCGTCAACATTTTCAGGATTCCTTAAATCGAAGGTTAAGATATTGTTGGTTAGCATGTCAGAATTTAGTGAATTCAATTGTTTATGGCCGACAGAATGAGGATAGCGTTGAACGGAGGCGATTTCCTTTAGCGGCACAAGTAGGATTAAATGTTTTTGTTGATGTTTCGAGTAATCACAACGAACTGCGAGATTTTTTTAATAGAAACATTTTCGAAAATCTGTGAAGGAGAAAACATGAAAAGAACAACTGAATCAACATAAGTTGCCTTATTTTGACGTTGGTATTTCTAAAATCTGAAAGCACTCAGTGATTTTTCAAAATCAGGATGTTCTCGCAACGTTGCGATCAATACGAAGATTCTCTCCTCTTGCTATCATCGCTTTTGAAGTCCAGCACAGTGGGACGGCAAAGATCCGTTCTTCTGTTCAGATTTTATGGAAATTTTCATCGATATAATTCATACGTAATCTCGAAGTAGTTCTTTGGCTAATAGTCAGTTGTTTCAGTTAGGCATCATTCAAGAAGCCTACGGTAAAGCGGGATTTATCAAATTATTAATCTCACTTTTTCCAAATAATTGCATCTTTCAAGGAGCTTATACACATGATGATCTGAAGCAGCGGTTTAAAAAGGTGACACCACTCTGCACAGTGCATTTCATTTCAAATTCTGATTATCTCAACACCGAAGCTCGAGCCCGAAACATAGCAAAGTTAAGAAATGAGATCAAGAGTGCGAGAAGATTCCATTATTGGACTGCGTCCATTTTCAGGTTGAAAATGTTATTCGATCTGTAGCATACGTTCACGAGCAGAGAGATGGACCATTCATGTATGGTCTATCCTATTTGAGAAGTAAACTTCGTATTGAACCTCACAACAAATTTTCATCCTTCGACAAGTGAGCGCAGAGAATTTATTACAGTTCTCCAGATCTGTGGACTACTTTTCATTCTGAAGTTGACACCATTTGTATGTTAAAATGACGATCTACTGTAAGATCTGTCGGAAAATTTCAAAATTTTGCATGCACACTCACAATCAATTATAAATCGATTGCTAGAATATCAGTTGACATTTAACAAGAGCTTCGTTTCCGTCGAATTTCTACAACTCAGTGCCAATTCGCTTGAATTCAAATCGGCTCCTTCAAACTGCTCCATGAACATATTATTTCTATAAAAGTTTTCTTTGAATACTGAACTTGAATTGACTGCTCTCAAACTTCAGCACTTATTACTAATTCAATATACCCTACAGATTGCAATTATAAATTTTTTCAATTTCAATTATCATCTGTTCAAGGATTGATCTGAGCACAATAGATATCAATGAAATAATGGATCGAGCGAAATATTTTGTACAACGAAATGATTTAAAGTCAGCCATACGCTTACTACAGCTACTGAAGGGTTTAGCTGCAAGTTTGGCTCGAGACTGGATCAGAGATGCACGAGAACATCTTGAAGCTAAGATGCTGGCCGATGCTATCGTTGCACATTCTACTGTTAACGGAATACGAACCACTTACTAGATGCAATCGTTGATGAATCTTCTCTGTTTGGGCCATTGCCATGCGACAAATCAAAAGCCATCCAGGATATAAGACGTTTTCAGTTGAATGCCCTTAGTGGAAAGTCTTGTCATCATTATCACCCCGCCAGAGAAGATCCATGAATGTGAATCTATGTTGGAAATATTGTGTGTGATTTCATTAAGCTGATGAGATGTTTGTCAGTTATTAAAGATATGGCTTAAGATTAAACAGATTCATTCTTTACCATCTCCATTGTGCAACTGTTTAATTTTACTGTGGACATCGGAAATGTTCCGACAGAAAACTATCCTCAGCCATTTTTATTTCAACAACTTGCTTCTACTTCAATAAAACGTTTCACAAAAACACAAGTGAATCTTCTTAATTAGGAACACACTCGCAACAATTTTTTGTCATTCCGAAATTCTCTACTTGCATATATCGCCAACTCTCTACACATTCCACTCATGACCGAACTGAAAACAACACTAATTGTAAGGCTGATGCCTGTCCACATCTGTCAGAATTCTTCTGTGTATAAATCAGAACTGAGATAAAGAACTCGTAAAACAGCCTGGAATCAGTGGTAATGCCTCGATGCAGAGAAACTGAGCTGAACAATCCAAAGGAATAGGATCAGCGATAATGGTTCATTATTAGTTGTTCAGGATTCTACATCAGCGGTACAAATTGTTCATTGATTAGGTTTGAGACTCATTCAGTTTATAATTGCTCATTTGGGAAGTAAAATGGTGATTAAAAAACTTTTAACTGTCTCTCCAAGTGAAAGGATAAGTAATATTGAGATGAATAAGTTCACATCAGGATAATATCTTTCTGATCAAAGTACATCATTGTTATCAGCAGTATTATTGCTGACTTTATCAGTCCTTTAGGTTTAGTATGTGATGATTTCCTAAACTATTCCTCTGTTGATTAGATGCCCTCCGAACAGTAACTTTTTGCAAATCTCGTTCCGCTTCCCTTGATATATCGCTCCTAACCTTTAATGGATCCTTCCTAACTGAACGGACCCTCTTCGACAAATAGTTACAAAATTTGTACTAACTAAGGTTTTCAATCGAGAGGATACGACGCAATAAACACTCTCGAACTGAGCTGATTTGAGATATTTCGAAAGTTGATACAGATAATGAATCTCTGTCCACCGTGACGTCACAATAAGGAAGACCAGAAGCCGTTTAATAATTCAGCCTGCATTAGATGTTAAAAAAATGAATAGACTACCAATGGAACCATTCGACTAACGTGGTTACCCGAAACCTGTAACTTACTTAGATCTTTAAATTAGTTTCATTTCTTACAGCAATTCGTTTAATCCTCTCCTTCGATGCATCTATCCTTTTCTCACCTAGAATGGATCTCTCTCCGTATGAAATCATGGAAAGTTCATGCTCAAAGGTATTTTCGATCGAGAAGATTTGATGCATTAATCAATCTTGGACTGAGCGGATCCGAGATGTTACACGAGGTGATACAAATCATGGTCCACATTCATCTTGACTCGGGATGCAGTTGATCCCTGTTAATGAATGCGTTTTATCCACCCAAAATTTTGCTATAATATTAGATAATTCGATCCTTTTCTTAAAAATTCAAGAACCTATTTTTACGGCGACCGCGCAGTTCTCATTCTTTTGACAGCGTCTCTGAAGTTCATCACGCTCTTTCTAGGAATCAATATTCTTTTAGCCAGATCCAACATATATCTCAATCTTTTTCACAACTTCTCAGTCATTTTCTCAATCTCCTTACAATAATATCGCCGAGTCGTATGTGGCAGCTGCAGATCAGTGCGCGATTCAATGTGATCAATTCAGTCACAACACGATCGCGTTTAACTGATGCTGCTGGCAACGAATAGGTGCAGTTAATCAATAGGTAAAACGAAATGCTAATGGCCTTCAAATGAGACAATTAGGCAAATTGCATCCAGGTGCACGATATATGTTGCAAGGCGTATTTATCAGCTCGTTTGGACCTTAATATTAGCTTCTTTGCCGAACAGTGGAGAGACTATCGAATGTCTAACAATAAGAAGCCACATTTATTTGATTGTGCAGTACTATATCCGTTTATTTGTAATCGCGGTTTTATGGCTGAGTATTATCATCGCTTATCAATCAACCAGGTTAATGAACGGCTGATATTAATTTTAATGGATTCTCCTCACCGAATAGCAGTCGTCTAATCTCATTACATCAACGTCGATAAAATCGTTATTGTTGCTGTTAAGATTGTATTCAATAAATTGTGGAAAACAACGAGAATCGAAAGGCTTCTGATTGAGCGACAGTTTTTTCGAAAAATGTGTTCAGCAATCGCGCCTCACGTCATCACTTATCTATGAATAATTCAACATGCATCATGATTTTTCGAAGATGTGCTTAGTGTGTGCGGTAATCGAGGATTTTCGGGGCCCCCGTCCCCGAATCCCCGTCTCCGGAACTACATTTTCGGTGTCCCCCTCTCAAAAATTCCGTCCCCGATTTTTCTCGTCCCCGACTTGTTTTCCTTCCCCGCACCTCACTAGATGTACCATTCACGCGAACGCATGCTTTGCTCCAGACATTAAGACTGCTCCACGTTTAGTGTCATTCCGTGATTCATTCCAACTCCAAACGCATTTTTTAATTACGGTCCACTCAGCTCACATCCTTGCCATATCGCATGAATTCAACGAATCACGTGACAGCATCAATCAATGGAACTCTGCTGTTTCCTCGAATTATAATTTGAGAAAATTATTTATTGATAAAGGTATGAAGAGGAATTGGATATGGAATGGTATTACACATCCTTATCACATTTATTATCGAACATAAGTGAATTTCGGGCGCCAAAAAAAAGAGCAATGGGCACCAAGAAAGTGAGGAAACACACAGCAATACAACTCAGAAGACAAAATGAACCCTGTTTTAGAAAAATATGAAACGAATAAACCAATTTTATCAAGCGAGAGAAGGTGACGAAAATATGTAATGTGAAATATCGATAACTTAGACAAGGACACCAAAGGTGTTTGATGAACTGCGGATGAATCACTCGGTAAAAATGACTATTTACGGAATACAGACGACTGTCCGGCCGGAATTGACCATTTCCAGAGTGCAGAAGAATGGACCATTTCTCACCTTAGAATGGACTGTTTTCGAATCGTTGCCAGTCCCTGAAAATATGCATGCTAAGCACTTTGACAAATTAGATGCATTGTTCTTCATCTGATTAACAATGGTATCGTTGCTCTATCGTAGTTCTTGAACATCATTAGGAAAGTTTTTGATTTAGATGAGATCACCAAGTTGCTGATTGCTGTGCACAGAATTAATCCCCATAAACTCCTTCCATTTATCAAACAAACAACAACGCATGCGAGTTTTTTCAGTGCACCATCTTTCTTCATGTTCTGGATCAAACTCATTTTATGCAATTGTAGTGACTGATAGGGTTATATCAAATCGTTTAATCGTTCAATTACCTCAAACTTGGGTAATTGAACCATATTAAGCACACCAAATATTTGAAAATATCAATATTCTTTTATATTATTCTTGTCATCATTCTTGTTGCTATTATTATTATTTACTTTTTTGTAAAGATCCTATAAGCTACGAATAACTTGAGCGATTGATATTTTCGAATATTTGATGTGCTTAATATGGTTTAATTACCCACGTTTGAGGTAATTGAACGATTACGCGACTTGATAAAACCCTATTAATCGTTAAAGCAATCTTCGTCATTCAGTTTTGACAATGAAAAAAGCATTGATGTTCCTTTGTAATGCAGGCAAGGATTGAGTAGTTAAGCAAGGCAGAGACCAGTGATTTCTATCAGTTTGATGTAAACGTTTGTGACAAGCCGAGGTTGTGATCACATGGAAATGATTCGAAGAATTGATCATCACGTTCGTGGGTGAAATTTTGCCATCCAATGGCTTGATTTGATTCGGATTCCTTTCAGATATAACAAAATCTTCAATCGCTCATTTAGTACATTTCACTTTCATTCAAATTTCATTCGTTTTGACTTACAGTGTCCGGATTGTCGATTAAATAAATTGGAATAGATTGTTTCCGGATTGCAGATGAATGTCACGGTGGAATTTTCGATGGTTTCCGGATTGCAGATGAATGTCACGATGGAATCGGCTGTTTCCGGATTGCGGATGAAACTCTTAGTGGAATTGATTGTTTCCGGATTGCAAATGAATCCCTCGGTAGAATTGGCTGTTTCCGGATTGCAGATGAATCTCTGGGTGAAACTGACTGTTTCCGAGTTGTTGCCAGTCCCTGAAAATACGCATGCTAAACACTTTGACAAATCGGAGGCATGCTTGTTTTTTTTCTGATTAGTAATGATGTCAGTGCTGATTTGTCGAATTCAAATACCATCTTGAATATTTTTGATCTGAAGATGATCAACAAGTTGCTGATTGCTGTGCAGTGAACTCATCCCTATTAACTCCAGCTTCTCAAACAAACGCCGATGCAAGATAATTTTTTCGATATGCACATTCAGTGACACCATCTTTCTTCGTGCCATGGATCAAGCTCAATTTATGCAATTTATGCAATTTCATTCGTTTTGACTTACAGTGTCCGGCACGAATATGATTAATTGCGTTGATCAGACTATCACGTGTCAATCGAATAAATGGATTGTTGGAATTGCTTGTCTCCAGATTGTGGACGAATCCCTTGGTAGAATTGACTGTTTCCGGATTACAGATGAACCCCTCGGTAGAATTTACTGTTTCCAGATTACAGATGAACCCCTCGGTAGAATTTACTGTTTCCGGATTACAGATGAACCCATCGGTAGAATTTACTGTATCCGGATTGCAGATGAATCTCTCAGTGGAACTGATCGTTTCCGAGTTGTTACCAGTCCCTGAAAATATGCATGCTAAACACTTCGACAAACCGGGCGACTTGTTCTTATCTGATCAGTAATGGTATCAGTATTCATTTGAGGATCTCAAATATCATTATGAACATTTTTAATCTCGATGAGATCAGCAAGTGGCAATATTTGCTAATTGCTGTGCACTGAATTCATCTCCATGAACTCCTTCAACTTCTCAAACAAATCACGACTTTTTTCGATGCGCCCATTCAGTGCTATCACTTTCATTTTCATTCAAATTTCATCCGATTTAACTAACTGTTTCCCGCTAGCAGATATCTGATTGCATTGATCGGACTATTATGCACTAGTCGAATAAGCGGATCGTTAATCGATAAAAGGCCAGCGTTCACCACTTCACCTGCTTCATCATCAGCTGAACAATACAAAATCATTTGAAAGTTGATCAAATGAGAGAAGCTAAAAACAGATCTCATTTTCATTCGACTTAACTTACAGTGCGCCGCTTGCAGATATTCCACTGAACCGACCATATTTTCACGTATCATTTGCATAAGTGGATTGTTAGCTGATAATTGGTCAACGTTCGTTCCTTCACTTGCTTCATCACCAGCTGAACAAATTAAAATCATTTGAAAGTTAATGAAGTGAGAAAACCTATCAGTCTTTTCCATATGAATGAGGATATTGCTTACTTGTCGACGAAACAACAACGATGAGGAGAACCAATTGAATGATGACCACATTTAGCATATTGCTCGTGTTGATGAATCGCAAACGTCCTATCGGGAGAGCCAGCGATTTAGCAGACTGAAGTTTTGTGCAGTCATTTTTATATGCATACTTGAGTGATAGATCAGCAGGAATTCATGTTGTTTTCACGCTTCTCGATGCTGCTGTCTGACTTATTGGTTTGTCACATGATGCCTTTTACGCAGCGTAATATTAACATAGTCGCCGCTGTGCTTATGAGTTGTTGAATATTGAACAAAACGTTCGTTTAATCGAATATTTCGATGAAAAATTATTCACAAGAAACACATTTGCATAAAATTGTTAGTTGCACTTTCCCAAATAATCAATTGAAAATGTAATTGATGGCTCCGATAGCCCACATTCGTTTTAAAATGACTGTTTAATTATATATAGAACGAATCCAAACTTTCAGTTGCAATAAGCAAATAGTTTGCAGGAAATAATATCATGTCACCTGTTGTGATCTCTCTAAAACAATGCTTTCTTGAAGAGTTCCTCTCTCAGTTTTCGTAAATAGTTCATCCCTCAACTGAATCTCACTAGCAACAAAAACTGCCCAAAGCAGCGAGTTTGCTTCGGTTGATCCTCTCCATTAAAGCCTCATCACAACGGAAAAGTGAAGCATTCATACCTAATGAGGTTAAAAGCGGTATGTTGATCACCTCCAGCTTTCACACATACAAGATATTTTGCTGCATGATGTGAGTTGAAATTCTTTGCTGACCATAGGTTCACTGCAGCATACATGCAACTACAGAAAAAACGAACTTATTTTCGAGATATCATGAACTGTTTCAGCCAAAACCAAGCCATAAATTTAGATGGTTCAAGCACACTCGTCCGAATTCGAGGCATACCGTACAGTGACATCGCAATCTATACTTTTAACAGCATTCCTGATACTCATCTCATTGTTCCTTCCTTGTAAAATTCTCGTTCTCAACATCCATGTCCAGCATATTTATCAATCTTTATCACAAATTCTCTGTCATTTCTTCAACCTTTTCAACAAGCATTCAGTCGTGTTCTCATTCTTTTTACAGTGATATTATCGAGTTGTATGTGTCTGTTGCAAACCATTCTACGATCAAATGTACTAAATTCAGTCAGAATGCGTCCGTGTATAATCCATATTAATTTGATCAATCAATGCATTCATTGAAATGCTGGTAGTATCGAAACGATACCTCTCAAAGTTTGAAAACTATATATGCTCTTGAATGCAATCCCAATCTTCAGTGGAAAATATAAGTGGTAAATCTCAGTCCATTATCAGCTGACTGTTTCCTCGTTGATTAAAACGGTTGTGTCGAAGGAGTCAAATTAACACAACCAATGCAATGCAATAACTTTTTTAGTGTTAATAACCCTAACTGTAAATTCAACCAACTCAAACGAACAGATGAGTGGCACTCAACTGAGGGAATTCTCGTAAGTGTATGACAATCTTACGAGTGATCACATCATTTACGCAGCATTACAACGACTCTTCTTGTAGTTATTGCTGAACTTATGAATCCTTTGCCAACGATCACAACACAAAATGAGTTCATGCGCTATTTTTGAAGGATATTGCTGAGTACAGATCGCAATACATGGTTTCATCGTTATAAACAACCATTCAATCCATCGCAAGCGGTTGGCCAAATCTGCTAAAACTTTCCCGTCTATTAGTCAGAATTCAGATAAAGAAATCGAAAATTTTTTTAAGTCCGAAAGAGAAGGCTCTCTCATAGCACTTTTCCGTTTGCTTCCATCACTAACATCGCGTGTATCGCTCACCATATCTGTCTGACTACTGAGAGTTTTTTGAATGGAGAGGATAGAGAGACAGAGAGAACGACAAATTGAAGGTAGTGTAAACAATATACAATGCAACAGAACTGTTAATGATTACAACGCTCAGAAAGCTTCATTCACTTGATTCACGAAGATTACAAAAATCCGCCACAGTAAAGAAGAAGTTAATGTGAACCTCGGGGTGTGTTTCATGAGCCTTAGGTAGCAGAAATGGGGCCAATCCGTTCACAAGTCATTATTTAAAACTATTAGAGGCTAAAGAAACATCAATTTTTTGTGTGACATTATGGAGGAACTTCGTGGGTTTACTATTGGTGACGTTCTTGCTAAATGCGCCGTGAGCGACGAGGAGTTCGAAGGATGGTTTGCATCACTTGTTTGATGCACGGCATAATGCTGTTCTTGCGTGTGAGTGTGGTGGGCAGATGAAAACGTCGAAATGTGTAAGAAGTAGGGTTTATCGCTGTACAATGCGAGGCTGCAGGAAGGTGGTGGGATATTTGGTTGGAATGCTCCTGGAAGATAGTCATTTAGCGCCGAAGGAGGCATTACAACTGTCATATTACTGGCGTTTGGAAAGACTCACGTATTCCGATAGAAGAGAAAAGACGGCAGGATGTTGGGATTGCACACATTGGTAGATTGGATGAATTTTTTTTCATGAGGTGGCCGTCATCCAGTGCGCATCGGTGGGCCTAGGCGTGTGGTTGAAATTGATGAGACCATAAACCAAACCTTATGCCATAATGTTCAACTTAAAATCATAGAACCTAATTACACTGATGCAAAATATAATACTTAGTGATGCATTCACCACGAGAAATAATGCGGTTGGGTAGACACGTAATGAAAATGTAATACGACACAAATGAGAGAGGGGGTGGGACGAATTACAACAAGAGAGAGATGCGATGTAATCAATGGACACAGACAGTGACCTTCGTATGAGAGATCTTGGATATGGAAAAATTTTCGCTCGCTGTTAGCGCTCCGGGATCATATCGACAACATTGCCGTGATTCCGATGATGGTTTTAGCGTATCAATGGTCTGAAAAATCGTGATTACGGGTGATCACTAGATAAGACGACGATGCTTAGTTGTCCCTGAACAACATCGCCATGCCTAATGATCATCTGCGATCATGATTTCTTAGAAGGTTCGCTTGAGATTAGATCCCCATCCATACTTTCCTTTCGTACTTGTCTCTTCACCTTGAATGAACTATTCTATGCTTGTGGGCCCGTCCATAAGAAATAATTGCAAATTTTATGCTCCTCAGTGTTTTGGCCGAGAAAGTACGATGAATCACTCACCTTTCAATTAAGCGGAGTCGAAATGCTACGGAAAATGATAAAAATAACCCGAATTCGTTTCATTTGATTGCGTTCCACTCATACTGAATGTACTGAACTGATTTCTTCAATCAGTGGAATGGTGACAGCCTTATAAAAAGGATGCTGACAGCTTCAGGAGGTGATATTGATGTGAATTACGTCCATGTGTTCGATATATGACATGAGGCGTATCTCTCAGCTCACTTTCAATCTGATGTTCCCTCTTGCATCAAATAATGGAGAAGCCGTTGAATTTCCTAAAAGCTTACATTTACTTAGCTTTTTGCGTGATCATATTTGTAGGGTTGAATATTGTCAACGTTGAGAAATACACTCTCCACAGTCTATCAAGATGAATAAAAGAGTGATATTCGTTTGACAGGATTCACATCTAAGAATCACAGTCCTTTGATCTCACTATATCAATATCACTACCATCATTGCTGTTGGCATTTCTATAATGTTCTTGAATTGTTAAACAATAACGAAATGACTAATGGTTTTTGATCGGCTGATAGTTCTTCTGAGCAATGAGTTCAAATTCACGTCTTACATTGTCATTTACCTCCGAATATTTCTTTCCAAAATACTGAATGCGATATCATGCACCGCTCTATTCAACAGTTTTTCTCACGCTTGCAAGCTAAATTATCCCCTTCGATGCTCTAGCGGGTCGTCATTATCCCACTCGCACTCCACTCCAATGTGAGACTGCACTATTTCCGCGCACAGCGACAGCAGAAAATCGAAAACCGATTCGGAAAATCCTCGATGGTATGCAAGAAATTAATTTTCTGGAGTGTATTTTCAGAATTTCATTAATCAATTACAGAAAGAATATGAACTTCAACAATTAAAAACGAGAAGCAATGAGAAAAAAGTTCCGAAAAAAATTGAAGATGAAAAAGTTAAACTTATGAACAAGTCCATTATACCCTGAAATATCGCTCTGACACCTCTGCATTATCCTCCAGGAGGTAATTTACTCCCTCTTGAGAAACACTGATGTGGGTATAACTGGTGTTTTGGCAGCGTCTTGATAATACAACGGAACAAGCTAATACGACATCTGTGCTATGGTCATAAGTAGTACCTCCGAGCCTTCTTAACTACGGTAACTAGCCACGCCCACAAATTACGGTAGTTAGCCACGCCCGCAATTGACGAAAACATTACGAATCGAGTAAAGACACGAACGGTTGAAAAATCAGAAATGGTCACAACATTTATCTGTTTAAGTGACGAGGAACGATCAATGCTAATTTATTATTTAATTTAATCTTATGTTGTAAGTGTTATATCACAACTTGTAAGCTTTGTCGTGCTTACAAATAAAAGAAAGACCACCTGGACTACGTCCATGCATTCATAAATTTCTCGTCATTTTGGCCCCATCCACTTTTAGTATCCAGCGCCAATGATAATATTAATGGTGAGAATTTCTATGAGACGCGGAATAGCAATCAGCGAATGAAATCGTTGCATCAAACTGTCCACTACTAGTATCACCTTGTAATTCTGATCAACCTCAAACTTAATCAAAATCATATCTATGAAAATAACCTCCTTCTAAACACCACTGGAAGCAACCGATTTATTGTAGTAATTGCAAGAGTAATCGCTCATTTCCTTGCAATTTTTAAATAAGCAAAACAGATACTGTGCAAGATTTTGATACAAAGTCTCGCCCACGGCATCCGAGGAGAAACCGAGAAGGTCTTTTTAATGACACACTCTACACAAAGGAAAAAACTGAGCAGAAGTCATAGACGGCAGCTTTTCTGTGCGTACCCCTAACTATCAAACACTGATGGTCATCCAAGCCTTCTGATCTCATCATAGGATTTACCTTCGCTTGCATTAAACGTCATACTATAAATGCCTATTCGTTATATTGCTTTCCCATCTTATGAGGATTAAATGTTCTAACAAGAAAAATAATGAACACGTTAGAGTCCATGATTCGGAGTTTTTCAAATAGTTAACAACAGAAAATTAAAACCACGAGTATGCGAAGCCCGACTCAAGATTCTAAAACAGCCGCCTAATAGTAATAATTATGCTACATAGTATCGACATTCTGAACCATTCACAAATCCCCTCAATCCCACCATCCGAACAGTTTTGCCATAATAGCAACGCGAACTGCCAACCACAGCACGCGACAAAAGCTACACATGCATGGAATCTACCCATTACAATCCAAAATCATCTTTTGCGCACACAGCGACTTAACGATCTATCCTATCAAGCTAAAACACTTTTCGCTCATATGATCTGAAAAAACCGCAGTCATGGCCACAGATTCTAAAAGTTTACAGTCCTGGTCACGTTACATGTAAGAGATGTTACCCTAGTCACGCTTTAGTATCACAAACAAGAAATCGAAGAGTATCACAGACACATTCCAGTAGTATATATCCGCTTCAGTATCACAGACAAGAAATCAAAGATCCACATTCCAGTAGTATATATCCACAGTCTAACAGCATATCATTAACAAAGCGTCATAACAATCAAAAGAATAATCAGAATCAGAATGAAACCTAGTCTCACCTGTTGCGAAAGATCTGCCATCCGTTGTCCTCTCAACAATCACACATGATCACCATAAAAAGATGACCTGCCACCATAATTCGGGTTTTTCAAAGGTGACCCGAAATTTAGGTGAACAGGTCATGGAACACGAGTTAAAAAACTTTTATTCAACGATGTGAAAAATGCAACAGTGAACAACATAAACGAAGCATCACTCCAAACAAAACCTCATCCAAATATGACAGATTGGTTTTCCTCTCCATACAATAGCCATCAGCTTTGACACAGGGATTTTCAGGGACTACGCAGTTTAGTTTCTAGTTTTATGAGTGGAGAAATCTATTATTCATACTTTGAATCTGAATATTTGCGCGAAATGTTCGAAGTAACTGTCGAATTATTTCAGTGGCACTATTGACAGGTGATAATTATACTGGTAATTGCTAAACATTCAAGAGCTTTTTTCGAAAATGTTTCTCCAAGCCACCTTTCCTCGGTAAGTTGATGCTCAGTCAGTCTTGAGCCTTAGAAGACTCAACGCCAGCAGCCTAAAGAGAAGTGTGAACCCGATACAGAAGCTAAACCACAGCTACCTAGCTCAACATCAGCATATGTAAAAGCTCTCAAATGTGGTGAATTGTTGAAACCGAAGGTACTGATTCATCATTTCGGTAGAATGCAAACCCCATCTTTTAGGTTATTTCAGTGGCACTAGCAAGAGATAATAATCAAACTGGCAGGGGAAACAAGGATAGCATCAGCAATGTCGTATGAATGCATTATGATAGTAGCAAATAGATAAGTTTCGGCGAGTAACCACAAGCACCTAAGAGATTTCTCCTTAAAACGCATTTAGCAACATTGAAGCGAGTGAAACGATTTTATATGTGCAAGCCAATGGCCAACCCGATTGCAATTCCTCCCTGTTAAGAGAAAGTGCACCCAGTGAGTCCGGGAACCCTCGTTACCTGAGCAAATGCCCGAGGGCACTACTCAGGCCAACTCACGCGCATTCCCTATCCCCGGTCAAATTGGCGCATTTCCCGGGCCGGTTTTTTTACTACCATAATTTGTGGGCGTGGCTAGTTACCGTAGTTAAGAAGGCTCGAAGGTACTACTATCATCATCTCCGTAAGTAACTACCAGCATAACCAATGATGCTCTCTTCCCAATTGTTCCATCAAGATTTTCTCTTATGATCCCTCCATCATCGAGGTTTCCATAAAAATGCTCCCGTTTCTGAACGTTCCCTCACCCAGACATCATTTTCGTAATCTTCATTTGCGGACGTTCTCGTCTCCGTCCCCCTATAATTTTCCCAAAGCCTCTGATCACTTCCAAAATTGCTTCACTCTTCTGATTGATTCAGCTGTGATTATCATCTCCGCGATCTTTTCCTCATTCAGCTATCCGATCCTTTCGGAAACTGCGAACATTCCAATGTCAGGAATCGTTCGAAGTTTCCCACCCACCACTAATAATTATGCCTCATAAAATTTCTTCGGCCGTCAATAACTCACAATCAGTGCGGATATCATACGTTTTGCGTTCGAAAATCAGCTGATCGCGAGACGTATTAGAATGCACGACATTTGCCACTTCACTCACATTTTGAGTGTCCACTGGTTTCACTGCCGAAATATGGAATTGTTTCCCGGGTGACCGACAGATACGTCCGCGACAAGTCTAAACTCTGACAAAAGTGATGAGGCACGCGAATGCTACTCAGTGATAAGACACACGCAATTTGTTGGAGTGGCACATTGTGGTAGACCCGTTTCGCGCGCTAAAGTTTATTTTTTTGAAATTAAATAGCAGTAAATTGCTGTTCAACAGTATTGCCAACACTGTGATTATTTATCAGCAGAAGTTCTGTACTTAAGTCACTTAGGTATGGAACTTTTGGAGACAGCAACTTCATGACTGATTTCACAATTCAATTGTCGAGGAATTTAAATGACTTCTGCCGTTGCATTTATTGGAAGTTTGTATTTTTTGGTAGGAGATAGATGGGGAACACGGCAAATGACCAAGCGACAATTGTCAGCACGACGTTTGTCCAACACGTAGTCGGTCACACTAACTCCGTTTAGGTTTGCTTTTTGAGCAATGCGAACGCACGATCACCATTTTGTGTGTTTAATGTAAAACAAGGACTATGTGATATATTTCGAGTATGTTTATCAGTTTTATGGTATTGGTGTCGTTTGAGGAACAAAACAGCGAGCGTGCAGCAGTACAACAGCACTATGGCCGACGCTCAGCCTCAACTTAAGCGTAGCCTCAGCCTCACGCTCAGACTGAGGCTGAGGCTACACTTAGGATAAGGCCGAGGCTACGCTTAGGTTGAGGCTGAGGCTACGATTAGGCTCAGGTTGAGGCTAAGCCTCAGCCTAATACGTATTACTGAGGTTTAGGCTGAGGCTAAGCCTCAGTAATACGCTTTTTATACCACACACACAAAATGGTGAGCATGCGTTCACATTGTTCAGTAAGCGAATCTAAACGAAGTTTGTGTGACCAACTACTTGTTGGACAAACGGTGCGTACGCACTTCGCCATATGCGCGTGTCGGCGGAAGGAGGGCGGAGTCACGACCGCGTCGCGCAAGGAGAGATATGCAGGGAACAGCCATTGGAGCAAGTGAGAGACTAGAACGACAT